ACAGGAAAGACCAGGCATAGTGGTGCACAGCTGTAACCCCTTAAGGGTACTGCAGGAGGAGCTCAGGTTCCAGGCCAGTCTGGGCCACATCACAAGACTTTGTCTCAAAAATAAAAGCAATGTATCTCTCGTCTAGGAGGCTGCAAGTCTACTTAAGTTATTGTGAGTTACCTCAAAGTACTTTACTCTTGAGCCATAGGTCAGTCTAAAGACCAACACACAAAAGGCATCACAATAAACCCACATTGGGATTTTTATTTACTTATTTTTATGGATATGCATGCTCTATCTGCATGTACACCTGCATGCCAGAAGAGGGCACCAGATCACATTATAAATGGTTGTGAGTCACCAAGTAGTTGCTGGGAATTGAACTCAGGTCCTCTGGATGAGCTGAGCCATCTTTCCAGCTTTCATTCTGGGACACCCCCACCTCCAAGAATAGTGATGAATTTAATCCTAAAAAATAAATTCTAAATTTAAACAAACAAACAAACAAACAAACAAAAAACGCAATCACCTAACTTGCCACACAAGAAGGCAAAGGGAAAAAATCATCAGGGCTGGGGGAACAGTTCAGTAGAAGGGTACCCGCCTCATGAAAGTAAGGCCCAGGATACAATACACATCACAAAAACAAAACTTAAAAAAAAAAATCCCAAACCAAAGATGGGGGCTGTATTCAAGGGAGCATAGGTCACAGCCACCACAGATAAAGGTTTGTAAGTTTACTTCTGGCATAGAGCATGTACCACAAAGAGCATGTGGAGGTAAGAGGGTAACTGTATTTTTCTCCTTGATACAGTGTGTGTCCCAGATGGAACTCGGGTCACCAGGCTTAGCTCCTTTACCTACTGAGCCATCACACCATTCCAAGGAACGACAATGTTTTGAAAAGTCATATTCACCTATAAGAGAACGAGACTCTTTACTTTCCCAACTGTCTCTTCAAAAACTACAACAGATCTCTCAATGATCACAACACTGGATACCGTGACTCATTTCTATAACCCAAACACTTAGGACATTGAGGCAAAACAAGGACAAGGTAGAAACCAGCCTGAGCTACATAAAAAGTAGCCAGGCTGTGACGGCACACGCCTTCAGTCTGAGTTTGACATAAGCCTGGTCTACAGAGTGAGTTCCAGGACAGCCAGGGCTGAAAAACCTTGTCTAGAAAAGGGGGGAAAAAAAAAAGTTAAAATGGTTGTTAAGGCAGGACCCACACCAACCCATATAAGTTCTATGCCTGATATTCAGCTCATGGTAGAACACCCAGTTTCTACATGTCTAATCAGCACATGGAAAAGCCCTTGACCCCACCCATCCCTGGGGAGAGCCTAAGGAGCATTTGACACACTGTCCGGGACCCCAGGAAGAGGGAGGACTGTGCCCTCACCTTAAACTGGAGCAACAAGGAGGATGTCTTTCACCATGCCGTCCGCAGTATGAGGGAAGGGATGAGTCTGACACAGACACATGGATTGTCAGCAGAAGCCACACATTCCTCAGGATGCATCACAGACCTCAGCAAGGCAAGGCACACGCCTGACAAGAAGCTTGGGGCCGGTCTCTGACACACATGCAGCTTAGTGGAGCTCAGAGGATTGCATAGCCTTTCAGAGCCTGTCTGATGCCACAGTCACAATCAGCCCACTCGATGGCAAAGCCAGACATAAAGCACATTCATAACCTTGAGTTTTCTAAGACAGAACACAGAAGCAAATAAAACACTGGGCTTTCACAAAATCAAAACTCTTGCTCACCCCAAAATACTGGAGCTGGGCACACAGTCACATCTGTGATCCCAGCCACTCAAAAAGCTGAGGCACAAGGGTCACTTGAGCTCAGTAGTTTGGAGGCCAGTCAGGGCAGCACAGCGTGTCCAGTGAAATCACAGAGCACACCCACGAAGAAGGGTGCAAACGCAGAGCAGAAACACTGGCAACGAGCATCCACTTCCACTGCATGAAGGACTCAACGTGACGAGGAGATCCTTCGCAGTAAACACCAGGAGCCAGCCTCCACTTCAAAAATGCAACAGCACACGGGGAGACCCTCCACACTACCCATCTCCAAGGAGAGTCCAAGGAAAGTTTACCACACTGCCCAGAACCACCGGGGAAGACTGGACCCCCACCTTAAACTGGAGCTCTCCTACAAAGCTGCACATACCATCTTCCCTCTGCTGCTGCTACCAGGGACACAGGTCCTCCACGAACCCTGTGACAACAGTTACCAAACCACAGCTCCAAATTGCAAAGAATCCACAGTCTAAAATTCATTCTTACAAGGGAATAAGGAAGGAGAACTGAAAAAGTGAGGGGATAGATACCACTCCCATCTCCACATCCCCTCACTCCAGGCCAACCCTGAGAGACACATGTAATTGAGAAGGGGCATTTCAACAGTTTTATGTGGGAAAAGATTACTATCCTTTATAAAAAAAAAAAAAAAAAAATGCTGAGACTCAAGTAGGAGAAAAGAAGGAAGAAAAATTGGCGAAAGACATGAATAGGAATTTCACTAACAAGGAAGTACCAATGGTCTAGATTCATAATCAGAGAAATGCAAACTAAAGCCACAACAGTGTTTCACACCCACCAGCTTGGCAAGAATGCAAGGCAGTGAGGATTCTCACCCTGGTGCTGGAGCTGGAGCTGGTACAACTGTTTCGGAAAGCAGCGGAATAGTAACACTATGGGAACACACACCCACACCCCTAAAGCCTCCTACTTGACAAAACATGGTCAAGGCAGTCCTGCCTGCCACAGGGACAGGCAGGCCACAGGAGACAGACAGGCCAACCTCTACTTCAGTGGCATGGCAGATTTGTAATATCCCTCAACAAAGGTCCGGGTATCATCATTCTGAGGAGTACTGTGCAGCAGCAATGCAGCAGCCACCAGCACAGACACAGCCCAGTAAAGACTTGAGCAAAGCCAGCAGTGAAGAGTGAGGAGAACGCAGGGAACATCATCGTGATCCTATCTGCAGATAGTGCCGGGAGACAGGGTACGCGGGTGCTGACGGTGCCACACAGCGCAGCAGAGCAGGGCGGGACGCAGCACTCAGCGCAGAGGACAGGCAGCACTGTAGGAGGCTGCACACTGTCACACGCTGAACAGCTGCTCCACCTGACTGAGGCCCTCACTCACGCCACAGGCCTCTGTTCACACCAAAGCCCAGGGCACCCAGCACCTGCTGCTACTCACCCCAGAAATATCATCTTTCCCTGTGTGCAAGCCTGTCTTAGGCCAGCTTTCCCTCACCCTGCCTTTTCCTGTAGAAAGAGGGTCTTCTAGGTTCTGCAAGAATGGAGACCAGAAGAGGCATGATGGATCATGCCTATAATCCCTGTACACAGAGAGACAGATGCAGGCACATCAAGTGCTTAAGGCCACCCTGGACAAATTCAAGGCCATCCACCACTACACAGGGAACCAAACAACAAACAAACAAACACAATCTACCTTTACAGGAAAAGTAAGACAGCCTCTGTCCGCTTCCTTCCCAGGTTTAAGGGTCAGTCTTAGGTAAGTGTGGAGATGTGCCTGTATCTGAAGTTCTAACTATAAGAGAAGCTGAAGTGTGTTTGTCTATGTGTGTGTGTGTGTGTGTGTGTGTGTGTGTGTGTGTGTGTGTGTGT